TTTGTGACTAAATAAAATATCCCGACTCAAAAGAAACCAAAAAAGGTCCTTCACTGAAATACTGTGACCCACCTTATTTACATGTCAACACCTTTATTGTCAATGCACAAAACAAAATGTGTAATGAATGTATAATAGCTTAAGGCCTTAAAGCCTCAAAAAAGACGGGTTGTAACCCACCAAAACATTGGTATAATAAAACCTACACTTTAACCGTGTACTCCTATTTGAAGACCTTTGAGTGCCGATTGAACTTACTTTACTACTGCTACTGTGTGGAGCATTGAAGCATTTTTCCGTATTGTGTGCTTGTACCAATTTTCAATATATACAGTACTGTGCAAGGGTTTTAGGCAGGTGTGAAAAAATGCTCTAAAATAAGAATGCTTTCAGAAATAAAAGTGTTAATTTTTTTTATAGATTAATAAAATGGAAAGTAAATGAGCAGAAGAGAAATCCAAATCAAATCAATATTTGGTGGGACCACCCTTTGCCTTCAAAACTGCATCAATTCTTCTAGGTACACTTGCACACAGTTTTTGAAGAAACTCGTCAGGTACGTTGCTCCAAGCATCTTGGAGAACTAACCACATAATATTTTGTTAACACTTATTAATTGATAAAAACAAACTATTACCACATTTCTTTAGTTACAGCATTTTTTTCACACCTGCCAAAAACGTTTGCACAGTGCTGTACAGTACTGGTCAAAAGTTTTAGAACACCCCCATTTTTCCAGCTTTTATTAAAATGTAAGCAGTTCAAGTCCAGTGAATTACCTGAAATTGTACAAAGGTAAGAGGTAAACTGCTAGAGGTGAAAAAATAGGAAGTTTAGGTAAACAAAAACTGAAAAATAATGTACATGTCAGTTACACAACAGTTTTTTACACCATCAAAAGGCACTTAGAAACCGGAGGAAACTCTTACAGGAAGACGTCTGGCAGACTCAAACAGAATCAGAAAATCAGGCTTCTGAGAGTCAAAACAGCTTGTGTGACAGGCGACTCAAAGGACAACAGCTTCAAGCACAGTTTAACACTCATCGAATCAAGTTTCAGTTTCAACTGTGAAGAGAAGACTTCGAGCTGCAGGTTTCACAGGTCGAGTGGCAGTAAGAAAGCCATTGCTAAGATGGCAAAATAAGAAAAAAAGGTTTGCCTGGGCCATGAAGCACCACCAGTGGACTGCTGAAGACTGGAGAAAGGTCTTATGGACCAATTAATTAAAGGAGAACTATGGGGTCAGGGCTTTTCCCCATAGTTCTCCTTAGGGTAACGGGAGGACACAAACTAGCGTCCTCCCGTCACCCTAGGCTCAGTATACCGCGAGCTACAGCTCGCGGTATACTGAGACGCCGCAGCCAGAGCGGATCCCGACATCGATGTCGAGATCCGCCCAGCTGCGTGAGTGACAGCTGGCTCTGCCTATCTAGAGGCAGAGCCAGCTGTACCGGCCCCCTCCCCCGTCGGTTCCGCCAGTCAGCGCTGGCGGATCGAAGCGGGGAGAGGGGAATCCAGCCCGTCCCATGTCACGGCAGAGAGCCGTGACAGGATTGAGAGGTGAGCGAACCCGGTATGTGTTCGCTCACCTCCCGATCTACTGAGCCGACCTTTGACAGTCTCATTGTCACAGGTCGGCTAGAACTATGAGGTGAGTGAAAAGCACTCACCTCATAGTTCTCCTTTAAAATTTGAGATCTTCGATTCATTACGCAGGGTTTTTGTACGCTGTCGAGTAAGTGAAAGGATGGTACCTTGGTGTGTGAGACCAACTGTCAAACATGGAGGAAGCGTGATGTTCAGGGGCTCTTTTGATGGATCCAGAGTTGGCAACTTGCACAGAGTGAGCGGCACCCTGAACCAAAACTACTATCACAGCATTTTGCAGTGCCATGCTATACCCTCTGGTGTATACCTAGTCAGTCAGGGATTCATCCTAAAGCAAGATAATGACCCAACACATAACTCCAGGCTGTGTCAGAACCACCTTAGAAGAAAACAAGATGGTAGGCTTCAAATCATAGAATGGTCAACACAGTCTCCAGACTTAAACCCCATCAAGCTGGTTTGGGATAAACTGGACAGAAGAGTGAAAGCAAAGCAACCTACAAGTGCAACACATTTGTGGGAACTTCTGCAACAGTGTTGGGAAGAACTTTCCGAACAATACAAGCAACAATTAAGCAACACAGCATTTCTTCTCTCAGACCCTAATCTACTCCAATGAAGCTGATCAAGCACAGATCGTGCTTGGTCAGCTTCATCCCTGGCGACGGAATGACAGCACCAACTGAATCACTTAAAGTGTAAAGCCAATAGTCGGGAGCGTGCTTGCAGGGGTTCGCTGTGGCTGCCATACAGTGGCGTAAGAACTGGGGGGGGGCGCCATCACCGACCCCCGCTAAATGAAGGCCCTGGCCACATGCACCCGGCTCTGTCATTGGGCGGCCGCTCACTCCTCCGAGGCCACTGGGGGGGGGCCCTCTACAGTGCCTGATCAGAGGGCGCTTCTGCCTGATCCAGCCAGAAAAAAACTTTTTTTTTAATACTACTCACCTGAGTCCTGGATCCAACAAGTGTAGCCTCCCATCTCCGACGCTGTTAGAAGTTGTATACAGCGTTTGCTGGTTACTATTTAAACCGGCGCGCGCAGTGTGCAGCTTCTGAGAAGATGCGCTATTAGCGTAGTGGGAGCTATGCAAAAATGCACAGCCGCCTTCCCCGCTATGCTAATAGCGTATCTTCCCAGAAGCTGCACACAGCGCGCACCGGTTTAAGTAGTAACCAGCACACGCTGTATGCAGCTTCCAACAGCGTGGGAGATGGGAGGCTGCACTTGTTGGTGGATCCAGGAATCAGGTGAGTATTAGAAGAAAAAAAAAGTTTTATTTTATGTTCTATTCTTAGTTCTATAATGGCATTGTAGTATTTCAGGTGGAATACAGCTTCATAACATATCAGCTAGGGAACTACAAGTCCCAGCATGCCCTCATTGCCCCTGTACAACAACCAGATATTGCTGTTCCCTGGGTGATATGTGTGTGTGTGGGGGGGTGGGGGGGGGTGTACAGGGACAATGATGGCATGCTTGGACTTGTAGTTCCTTAGCTGATATATATGTGTGGGGTACAGTTCCCAATAACTCTGGTTACGCCTCTGCTGCCATAGATCATAGAGCAGCAGCAGGAAAGGGGTTAAATGTGACCTTGTAGTCTATGTGCAGCCCACATTTTTTTTTCTTTCATTTTTTTGGATAGAGTGCAGAAGGATAGAACCCCTGTTAGGATTTTACTGCTATCTTTTGCATTGTTTAAAAAAACTCTTCCCTAATGTCTTGCCTTGGTGACAATGGTTTTACCAGATAGGAAATGAGAGTAAAAGCTAGAACCCTGACAAATTGTTATCCGTGTCCCAGTTATAGATTTCCCCTCCCTTTCTGTGTGGTAAAACCATTAGCAGAACATACACAGTAAACTAAACTATCCACCGTCTCCACAAAGTTTCTTCTGTTCAGAGACAGGGAGACGGTTGCCTCTATTCATAAGATAGTCAGAGGCTGGGGGTTTACTTAAAGTTTACAATTCATTTTTACTTTAAATCAGTGGAAGGTACAAAACCGAAATTAAAATCTTCTGTGAGTTTAAAACACCTTTAACAAGTCTCTGTGGTTTAACTAAGCAAGTAAAACCTGTAGACCATTTCCTGACAAACCGCGCATTGTGATTTGTCACAAGGGTGACAGTACACCATACAGACAGGTTATAACACCTGCTGCTGTATGCAAAGGTGTGAAATAATTATTATGCTCATCTGCTTAAAATGTTGAGTTTAGGTTGTACCAATAAAATGCTTATTTTCATTATGGACAGACAATTAAGTAATCACGTTGATGAGCATGTGCTTGTTTTATTGCTGCTTTATGTGGCTAAGAGAACAAAACAAAGCACCCAATGTATTTAAAATGGACACATTAATATGACCGCATTATAATTATACGAGAAAAGTATAGACTTATTAAAAAAAAAAAAAGTTTACTGTAAATATAGAATGTAAAAAACTGAATATTTTTTCAGAGTAACCACCGCTCTCAGCTCACCTAAAGCATAAACCTGGAAATGTTTTCCCTGCACTGTCCAGCATGAAGAGTGAGCACAGGCAGAAAACATGTGAATTTACAAGGTACAGTAAACTCCCTATTATCCGGCATTCAAGCAACCAGAACTCTCAAGCAACCAGAAAAAAAAAATCCAGGACATAATATGTCCTTAATTTCTTTGCCAGTTGCTTGACAGACATGTGCACACTAAACAATTTTGCTAGCAAGTACATTTATTTATTTCGTTGCTAACGAAATTCTCTGGGCGTTGGCTAGATTCCTCAGCAATTTGAAATAGCCAACAGCAGAATCTAGCGAGCAGATGAATGGGGCAGGGGTTGTTGGGGCAGTGGAGATACAGTTATCCAGCTTCTACCAATCCCCATGGGTACCGGATAACTTTTTAGGGAGAATGTAAGTGGTAAAAACTAGAGCAGATAAATCTTGGAGCACTTGGGTTCCTTTCCCAACCCTCATAACTTTTGATATATTCAATTATGCAACAACTGCATTTAACTATGATTTATTATTTATTTATTTCAGGTATTTATATAGCGCCGACAATTTTTACGCAGCGTTTTACATAGTTTTTACATCAGTCCCTGCCCTCAAGGAGCTCACAATCTAAGGTCGCCATCTCACATACAGGGTTAATTTAGAAGGGTCAATTTAAAAAGGAGCCAATTAACCTTAAGCATGTCTTTGGAGTGTGGGAGGAAACCGGAGTACCCGGAGGAAACCCATGCAAGCAAAGGGAGAACATGAAAACTCATTTGCAGATAGTGACCTGGCCAGGATTCGAACCAGGGACCCCCAGTGCTGCAAGGCAGAAGCGCTAACCACTACGCCACCGTGCTGCCCACAGTGGGCAGGACAGCCATTTCACTAGAATAAACACTGTACCTGCTCTTGTCGTCGTCTTCCCACCTGGGAAATTTGGGAAAGCATTATTTGCTGGTCCAGCAGCTCTATCCTCTGCTGCCTCTGTATATCCACAGTTGCTCCCATCCCAACACTGGCTTCACTGACAGGCTCAGCAGATGAGAATATTGGCTCTACAGTACGGGAGAAGATTTCTGCTACCCTGTTAGGGATGTATACAACTTGCTGAACACTCAGGACATTTTTCTTGTACAAAAATCCTGAAATCTGAAAGAAATAAAACAAAAAAACATGTGATAAAGAAAAAAATATTTTGCGTCTAAAAAAGCAGAGGTTGCACAGACTGTATTTTGTTAAAAATAACAAATCATTATTAACAATATACAAAAAAAAAAAAAAATATTCCAAAGAAAAAAAACAAAACATTAAAAAGAAGGAAACTGCTACGAGCTCCATTTGGGACTTCAGTGGTATCAAAAAGAGTTGTGAGAGAAAAGACAGACAATTATAAACGTCAATATACTTCAACTCACATTTTTTTAGCATCAAAAAATGTAAAACAAGTTAAACAATTGTTCCTATTCACTTTTACATTACTGCTATAAAAACATCAATGTGTAAGCCATAACATCAGAATCTCATTTAGATCTTTAGTCCCTCCCATCATTGTCCCAAAAGAGGTTTATAGTTGTTTCCTTCTTTGTATGCAACTAAATCGAGATGAAGGTATAAAAATATCTACTTTCACCTGAACCATATCCTCTTTCTCTTTCATCGACAGAATAGTTGCCACAAGTCTTTTATAAAGTGGTGTAGACCTGCACCGGTGGCAAGTGTGCTTTTTATCCTCTACTGGGGCTGGTTAGCGTGGTTTCTCTTTGGCATAGTCTTACATTATTCAGTGCCTCTTCTTTAAAGAACTGATTCCCATTTTCTGGCCCTTCTGATTGATCAGTTTTGTTCTTTTGACTCTTACATTATTATTCACTACTTTGTATCCATTGAATTCAGCCATTTATTGTATAAGTGGAGATCAAACTTGTCATTTGCTGACAAATTTTAGAATAGAATAACCCTGTAAAAGAATAAGAGGAATACTTACCTTTCCATTGAGTGGCGAGGGAAATTGTTTCTCTCTTCATGAGTTATTACCACTGCTGCTGTCCAACACTTCCAGATGTATCAGATAACATGACACATACAGCATGCTGTTTTGTTCATCCCTATGGCCCTTACATCACAACAGGACACAGTAGTTATGTAGGGGGCAGTGGTATATCCCAATGGGGGAACAAAAAGTAGTTTTTCTGTAAATCAAATATGATCTCAGTTTTACCATATGCTCTAACAAGATGGTAATGGAGTAAAACTTTACATCTTTAACAAAACAAAGTTATATATCAAATGATTTGAGTGGAAACCCACAACTGTCTTTGTATCTTCATACAGTTGCATTCATTGCAGAAACCAGCAGGTTTAAGATGTTTAAAGTAGAACCCCAATTTCAAAAAAGTTGGGATGCCGTGTAAAAATCTACATAAAAACAGAATGCAATGATTTCCAAATCTCATAAACCCATATTTTTCACAATAGAAAACATATCAAATGTTTAAAATGAGAAAATATACCATTTAAAAAGGTAAAAAAAAAAATATATATATATTATTTTGACATTGATGGCAGCAACATGTCTTCAAAACCTTAGGACAGGGCAACAAAAAGCTGGCAAAGAAATTGGTACTAACAAGGAAGAGCTGGAAGAACATTTTGCAACTAATTAGGTTAATAGCCAACAGGCCAGTAACATAAATGGGTAAAAAAGAGCAACTGAGAGCCCTGGTAAGACCTGCTAGCAGCCCTGGTAAGACCCCACAGCAGCTCGCACAGCTCTGGTGAAAACTGCACACAGCCCTGGTGAGACCCACAGCCGCCCACGCAGCCCTGGTGAGACCCCACCCCGCACAGCCCTCGTCAGATTGTAATCTATGCGAGTATGTGATTTTTATTTTTTTTTGGTCCACTAGGAGTCTCGAACTCCGTCCAGGAATGTTCAAGCCCTTAACATTGAGGGACGTAAATGTAATGGTGCCCATTGAGAGAAATGAAGCGGCCACCTACCTGTGGTGAGCAGAGGGGGGAACAGGAAAGAAAATAGAAAAAAAGAGCAGAGAGATCAAGAATGGGAAGAAGAAGTCCAGAGAGGCAGGAGAAGAGAGGTAAACTCGGAGGATAAGCCAGGAGATAAGAAAGTGGAGAAAACAAAAGACAAATAGGTCTAAAAAAAAAAAAGCCCAAATTAGCTTACGCCTAGATAAAAGACAAAAAAGTTCCCTTAAAACCTTGAAAGAAGAGAGAACAGCCTATATGGGGAGAATTTGGCTCAAAAAAGATGCATCAGAAGGAGATGCACTGACAGAAGCAGACTCCCTGATGCTTTATGTAAATATTCCTCAAAGGTCCTAGAAGAATCAACCTGGTGCCCCATTGCCCCAAGGGAGAAACTCAATAAAGTAACAATACATCTGACAGATGTTGCTTTGGTGGTAGAATGTCACACAAGGCATTATGTAAAACAAAACAAATAGGTATCCATGGAAACCCCGTCTGCATCCCCTCCCCAGCCAAAAACCACATAAAGTGCCAGCACCGCATGAGGCTCACTAGTCATGTTGATAAACAGGCATGGGGGGAAGGTCCAACCAGGAGATACAGGCCCATATGTGGGAGTGAACCCCCCATAACTAAATAGTTAAGCCAGCAATAGCAAAAATATGTGAGGCACTTAGAAAAACAGTCACAATAAATATCAAAGATAAATATACAAGGGGGAAGTGTGGCAGATTGTGACCTAGGCGGTCTGTGGTCTATTCTCCTACCCGGGAGCCAGCAGACGTGCAACCGGAGGGA